CTAAGCAAGGTAAAGTCTCCCTCATGTTCTTGAAACCACTCCTGCACAATATGAGCACCGTGGCATGGTGCATTGTCTTGTTGGAAGAAGCCATCTCCATTGGGATATGCCATCAACATGATAGGATGAACTTGATCAGCAAGTTCCACAGGCAGATCTAGGTATGTTGTGCTATTCATACGTTTATAATGGTCTGGCCCTCTAGCAACTTCAGCGCGAAATTATAGCTAATTTGCCTACAAATGTCAGGTGGTCATAATAATCTGGCCACTAAGTGTATTTCCCCTTATCTTAGCTGGGTACATAGCCACCCAGAAAAAAAGACATTTTTCAGCCTCCCTTGCAGCTAGGTGAGGCCATCAGACAAAGTTCTGGCAAATTAGATATAAAGGGAAGTGATATGTGTGACTTTTGCGTCATGCCCTAGGAAGGGGGCACATGCCCTCCACCTTCCTTTTCTCTCCATTTCCCCTAGCTAGAAGGACATGGTGATCAGGAGGATGAGGGCAACAGTGAAAGGATGGTAGAGCTTTGTGAGGATGGAATGATCTCATAGAAGAGAGCTGCCCTAGGCCTCCCCGGACATATATGCCTGCTATCTTGTTTAAGCTAGTTATTTTTGGTAGTTGTTAAAGGAAGCAAATCAGTATCCTATCAGATTCACTATACTTCCTAGCCAGTGTGATTTTACAAGCTGGAATCTCCACTACTCAGTCTCTTCCACTTCTAAGATTCTATTTAAGATCCTTCAGACTGATGCATGCAGCTTGTGGGCCTTCAATTTCCATGACCCCTTAGGCTTTGCATGTCTCCTAACTCCCTTCATTTTCCTGCTTCTGGGTGAAGGCACTATAGTCCACATATGCTATGTCACTATATGGGGCCACAATTACAGTTAGCTTCTCTCCTGAAACCAAGCCTATGATGCACAGCCCCAAAGCCCAAAAATCCCACTTTGCAAAAATTCCAAAAAGGGGACATCTGTAATACTTTCAACAACAAAGATAATACAAATAATAATAAAAATAAAAGAAAGAAAACACATTCCCATAAGAAATGTATCCTGTGCCCAGGTTTCCTTTCACTAAAGACCTCCCCCATTCCACACAAGCCCTTCACCAAAATTCTGTTTGTCAGCAGCTGCCCAGGCATTGGTGACTTATATCCTACTAAGCCCGAAATGAGCTTTCTGCCCCCAATTTTCTGAAGGCTGGTTTTAGGACTGTAGCGAACCACATTCTGTTCAAATTACAGACATGTGGGATTATCTGCCTCCAAATTGGTTCACTTAATTATGCCCCAACCCTCACTGCCCTCTTGGCTTCTCTGTGTCTCTATTTGGATTCATTTTTGTCCCTCACTGCAGTCCGTAATATACTCTCCCTCCTATTATCAGTGTTGAACATTAGAGGGACATATTCTGAACTTTCTTTCCCAGGATAATTAACGAAGATATTTAAGCTGTGGCTGTTTCTAAGAAGCCTCCTCCCAAAGCTTAGAACATTTTTATTACTGGGACCACTGGAGCTGCAGCACTGACTGGATCAAACTGAATGCAATTTTGGCTTTTTGTTTGTTTGTTTGTTTGCTAGTGCTGCTGCTGCCAAAGCAACATGGTAACAGTCCTAATAAAAAAGGAAATGAAACTCCAAATTTCAGCTTTCTGTTACTGAGCCATTATGAATCACTCTGTAGCATCTGTTTTTTTTCTGGTAGAAGATGCTGTTATCATTGCTGATCGCTATCTTCTGCCTGACCCAGGGAGAATGCTTTCCAGAAGGTGAAGGGAGACATTATGCTCTATCATGAGCTTGCTCAGAGATCTGCTATAATCCTGAGTTATAGTGGCCCAGAGCCAGGAGCTGGGTTATTGGGAAGCACTAATTGGCCTTTCTCCCTTCAATATTCATGATGCTTTTACATGGGGAAAGGGAGCCACCTTTGTGGTCTGGAGAGAGCAAGCCATTTCAGCCCAGTAGGAACAGGCTGGTTTTTTAAAGCCTCAGAATGCAAGAGAAAGAAGAGAATTTAGAGATCTCTTCATCTAACTGCCTCAGTTCAAAGATGGGAGAAAAGTGGAGAAAGGGAAAGGGACTTAGCCAAGCTCACACAGCTAGAGAGGTAAGCAGGACTAGTCTTTTGTCAGGGACGTCAGAATACACATATTCTATTTTATTATTGTGAAAGAGTCAGGAATGTGTGTAAGCAAAGAATTCAGAAAGTTCTGGAGGAGGTGATAATATAGGCGAGCCAGCTCAGAATGTGGGAAAGGTGATTGTGGGGAAATATTTGGCTAGGATAGCTCCAGTCTTGTCCTAGAAAGAGGGTGTCCTCTGATTTATACCAGGCAAGCAAAGCTTGATGAAACTTAACCATCTCCACTTTCCTGAAGAATTTCTGGTCTGCAGCTTGATCTCTCAGAGGGACCTGTTCCCTTAGGAAATAGACTGATTCAGTAGAACCCAATGAACTGCTTTCTAGTATAACTCGGCCAATGGTAAATTTAACTACTGGGTCCATTTTCTGGTTTCTGCTCAACCCTGATGAGGACAATGACAAGGGTCTAGATCCACAGGATTAGGCACGGAGAGACCCAGGAGTGAAAAGTTTCTGTGGACTTGTAGTTGGAATCCGTTAAGGTAGCTGGCCCTATTTCCTAGCTCCTGAAACAATGTGTGTGTGGGAGGAGGGTAAGACAGTTATGAAGCTCCCTGGAAGTGGCAGCCTTTGGTCTCAGCTTCCAGGACACCCTTCTCTTAAGCCTGGCCTTTATGTGAATCTTGTCACCCGAACACATTACTATGGTGTGAATCTGGACTCCCACTCCTGGTTCTCCTGCTGATTGTGTCTGTGTTCCCATCTCTCACCTGACTTATCTGTCAAAACTTGTCTTGGATCCCCGTTCTTACTGCTGTTCTTTAGTTCCTGGAATTCTGACCTAGGTTCCTTTTGGTCTTACCCCTGATGCCTAATGCCCAGCCACACAATACCAGATTAGATCCATCTTGCTCCCTGTTATTTGATTTTCTAGATAACCACACATCCATCTAATCACAAACCCCAGGCTCTCTCATCTGCTGGGGGCAACCAATTACAAAAAGACAATTTATATACCTGAGGATCCGCATCTTTGTCTGGCATTGGACCAAAGTGATTGATTATCCGATTCCTAAGAGAATTTTTGAGCGAATGAAACCATGATGATGCTTGTTCATAGACACAGTTATGTAATCCCATGAGTTCAGCACAATCCTCTCCTAGAACCTGAAAGTATCAAAGTGGAAGTGAAACATTCTGTACCGTCTCCATCACTCCTAGAGCCACTATTGGTACCTGACTCTCTTTGAGCATCCATCCTGTCCCCCTATGGGAAGGCTCACCCACCTGACTTTCTCTTGTGTGGTATGTGAAAGGTTCCTCAGCCAGATGATGGACTGTGTGTAAATACTGCTGAGGGTGGAGGAAGGAGAAAGATTTGGCTGGGTAAACTGGCTGAAACAGCAACACATATAGAAAACCAGAAATGCAAACTGGCCTGAGTGGAGGCGTAATCTTAAACTAGGTTATGCTGGCTTATGTTTCTCTCCTTTTCATTTTTTACATCTGCTTTCCCATTGCTTACTGGGAAGAGAGACATGAATGTGCCTGTATCTCACTTTATAACTTTATCATCCAAGTTGAATATATTTTTTCAGTGATCAAATACTTATTAAGTGTCCTACATAGTGACTGTAAGTATAAATAAACACAGGTTTATTATCTCCTCTTCTGCCCATTAGTCCAGAAAACAAAGGATTAACTGGACATGTCATCTTGCTGCCTTAGCAAATGATGTATTATTGGGAAGAGCTCTTAGCCAGGTTGCCAATTTAGAAATACAAATGCATGTGTGAATCTCTATTAATCTCAAAAGAAAACATTTTAAAATATAAATAAATCGATAAAGCAATACGCATGTGTAGACCCTGCTCCAGATCTATCCTTTGATATCCCTGACAGAGACCTAACTCTTAGTGGAATGGGCCCAAGGGTTGGTCTGGCTTGGCATTTCTTATCCACAAATATAATTAAGCAACTAAGCAGGGATTGCCAGGACAGGGAGTGCTCTCACTGCCACTCTACAACCCAATGACAATCCGGCAGCATTCAATTTTGCTTCACCAATTTGATGTCAAATCCCAAGGCCCCCAAAGATGCTAAGGGATCTTTTTGGAACCATCTCCATCTGCCAAGCCACAGGAATAACCTGGCTTTGGGATTCTTGGCACTAGCCATCCTTACCTTTTGGTCTTCAATGTATTCAATATCGGCTGTGTTGTAGCCATCCCGCTGGCCCTGACGAAGGACCCTGAAGCGCCTCTTGCCTACGCTGTCAATCACTGAGCGGCCATCGGCAAAGAACTGAACATTTCTGATCTCTAGAATGCAGCCGTATTCTGCAAACCTGTTTATTGGAAATAAAGTCAAGAAACTGAAATCTTCATGAGTTGTTTCCCTGGCCTCACCAAGCCATTTCTACACCATGCTGTGCCTCAAAGGACTTCTGCCTATTCACCTGTCCCAGGATCTACAGCCATAGCTATACAACAGTCAGTGCCTGTGTGAAAAAAAAATCTTAATGTATTAATACAACTGCTGGTATTTATTGAGTACATTCTATGTGCTATGATACTATGCTCAGTGCTTTGTGTGCATTATTAACTCACAAATCATTCCAACAAACCCAATGATGTAGGCATTCTTATTGTACCCACTTTACAGATAAGGAAACTGAGTCACACAAAAGGTTAAGTAACTTGTCCAAAGCCAAACTTGTCCCAAGGCTGAAGCCAAAATATGAACTCAGGCACTTTGACTCCAGAGCCCACCCTCAAAAGAAGTTTTATAGTATATGCCACCCACTTAACAAAAGAGTTATCCTGAGGTTCCTTTAAATAGGCAGCCTCTCACATACTAAACTAAGGGCTAGAGGGACTCTGTTCCTTACAAATGCCTATGGTCATGACCTGGCTAAGTCTCCTGAGCTGTACCTCCCAACCTCCTGGGAAAGCCCGAAGGAAAACCAAAAGCTTCTCCACCCACCTTCCTTGACTCACATAGCTCCTCACTTACCCCTTGACGGGATCTCCAAGGCACATGCCGAACTGTCTTGTGCCTGTCTCAATGCATCTACGAATCATCAGACGGTAGCAAGGCTCAAATATATGTAGGGGACAAGGAACGGTGGGATAGGCCATAGTACACACGAAAATAGGCACATTCTTATTTAAGCTGTAAGGAAGAGTAAATGACATGATTCTCAATGCAATGGAGCACAACACAGAAAGGCTGGTCACATGTCACCACGTGGTTCCTCCACAGGAAGGCAAGGAAACATCAAGTGTTTGTTGTTCTTTTAAAATATATATTTTTATTGATTTCAGAGAGGGAGAGAAAGATAGAAACATCAATGATGAGATAGAACCAATGATCAGCTGCCTCTTACACAACCCCCACTGGGGATCGAGCTCACAACCCAGACATGTGCCCTGACTGGGAATTGAACTGTGACCTCCTGGTTCATAGGTCAGTGCTCAACCACTGAGCCATGCTAGTCGGGCAGAAACATCAAGTTTTGATGGCTGATAAAAAATACTGAAATGCAACTGATGCTGTGGACTGAGTCCCAAGATTGGGCTTGCCTAAGGGCTGAGGTAAAAATGGATATTCTACACAACCTAATTTGGCTGAAGTTCTCTATCTAGTACATTAACATGGTAGGTGACAGTTATACTTCATATTTTTTTCTTCTTTCATGCTGTTCACTCAACAATCTCTCCAGGTGTCTTGCTGGCAGTATGGGAAAGGGTACTGGTGGTATAAGTGGACCCAGATCTCCAGAGCAATGGTGGGACATTCTCTACAGAGTCACCATGAGCACCTCAAATTTGCAAAGCCCTTAGAAGTCTCCATGGCAGGTCCAGCTGGGAGGAGGAGGGAGCAATGGGAAGGTGGGAGTAATTTAGCCTAGTGATGCTCAAATACACCTGTGAAGCAGGATCACTGAGGGCTCTTATATCCAGACTAGCAGTCTGCAAAGCCCCCAGAGACTCTGGTGCACCAGTTATGGAATCAGGACCCAGGAGTTTGCCCTTAACAAGTGCCACGAATGTTCAGACACAGAGCCTGAGGGGGTACCACCAACTGGGCCGGCTCCTCCTAGACCCTGTTCTCTTATTTGTCTAGTAAATCCAATATAGGAACAGCTGAACCTATCAATAGATATAAGACCATTTGCCCTAATCTCAAAAGGATTAAATTTAGGATGCCTTTAAACAGAAATTTAGTATATTTCTCTATAGTGTATTCCAGTTTTTGTTAATAAGACATTAAATAATATTTGAGAGGAGGGCTCAGAGAGATTCAAGACAAACTTAAGAATCAGAAATAAAGATAAAGATGCCCTGAGTAGATGTAATATAAGTCAATGAGGAAAAAAAGGATTTGATTTCTAGCTTCCCAGAAAAACATGTTGTTCAAAGTGAGAGGGACATTCAGACAAGCTGGTGGCAGTTTAGAAATGGTTCTCTACAGGGCAGGCATAAATCCAGAACAGTTTTTGCCACCGGGAACCTCACCCCCAGAATGCTGTTAGGATTCCACTCGGGTCGAGACGGGAGGGCAGCAGTATGAGAGGCAGAAATTAGTGGTTGCCTCCTGCTTTACCCACTAAGTGAGCTGTTCTTCCAGCCAGGCAGAGAACCTGGAGCCCTATTTGCATCCCCATCCCTACCTTTCACCTCTCAACACCTGTACATGGCAGAGGACATAGCACTCTTACTATTACCATTTATTAAGTACTTACTAGCCACTAGTTCATTTGATCTTCATTACAAGTCCATGAGGTAAGAACTACTATCATCCCCAAACTACAGATGAGGAAACTAAGGCCCAGAGAGGTAAAGTGACTTTCATAGAGTCATGAAGTACATTTACTTTGTAGCAAAACTGGATCATAAGCCCAGGTCCGGCTGACACCAAAGTTCTTAACCTCATAGCACCTCCTTATGTATTTGAAAAACAGTCTTCTGGACACTTAAGCTACTCCAACTTACTTCTGCCAGTGACACCAGTTACTAGTGCCAAGATCTCACCTGGCAGTGATTTGGCTTATGCTTCTTCACCAGTGTACTGGTAAATGTTGAACAACTGACTTTCTAGGGGTGGGGAAATCCCCGGTTTATAGCATTTGCCAATTTCCAGGGTGCAAATACTCTCACCATGGCCAACTTCAAGCTACTGACATGATATCACTGAATGAGGAGTTAAGGATGAAGTGTGCACTCAGCTCTATGAGCTGGTATGAGTAAAACTGAAAATAAAAACATGCATATACGTACTTAGAAAGTTCTTCCATTTCTTCTTCATAAAGCCTCTTTCGTTCACTGAGTTCTTCTGGAAGGAATTTGGCTATTAGCTCTTCCATTATAACATTTTTGCTGTACTTTCTTGATGCCAAGCACTATATGAGGAAGGAGGCAATTAGATATTATGCAGTCATCAGAAAAACACAAAGCACTTCTTATGCAATCAGTAGAACAGTCAAATGACCCACATATTGGAGTAATTTGGGCCCACACATTAGCAGCTGATACTATCATAATGTATGTATTCTCTGGGTGTTAGAAAAGTCAACAGTATGGTGATTACCAGAGGGGAAGCAGGGGTGGGCGAAATAGAAGAGAGTAAAGGGGGAATAAATGGTGATGGAAGGAGACTTGACTTTGGGTGGTGAACACACAATACAATATATAGATGATATATTATAGAATTGTACACCTGAAAACTATATAATTTTATTAACCAGTGTCACCCCAATAAATTTAGTGAAATTGATTATTATTATAATTAGGAAAAATATTCTAACAAGGGGAAAAGGCCTGCATTTATGTTTTAAAAATCTCACTGCTTTCTCAAAACACTGATATCAAGATCATGTTCTTATCAAAAGAGGGGAGAAATCCTTCCCTTTCCCTTTTCTGATTATTGTGTTTACAAGCCCACAGAAACAGTCTCCATCTGGGACATGCTGAATGTCTATGGTCAAAAGGTTCAGGGAACTAAAGAGTAATTTTTAATCATTGATCCTTTCCTGCCCTGCCCCACCCCCAACCCATCCCAATGCTTGGCTTCTGGATATTTCAAGCCTAAATATTTTTTTGTTCTCTATCTTAAAAAAACCTCACAACTAAATACTGGTGATTTTTTAAAAAATATACCATCTAGTTATCACTGAAGTTATGTTATAAACCATGATTTCAGAACTGAACTCAGGCTCAATTGTCACTATTACTCTCCTCCCAAACACCCCTATCACATGCAAATCCAGGCATCTGTAAGTAGAGGGCATTAAACTGTGTGGACCTGACAATAAAGCATCTGCCCAGAATTGCTCACTATGGAAGCTACCCACACATGCCCAGCAGTGGGAGTTCCTGAGTATAAAATTGCTACCTTCAGACAATTTCTCCTTTCCCAGTATGGGCTATGTTTGTCTATTCTGCACTGAGTATGATTGGAATAAGATAGTTATCTCTCCTCTCTGGGAATGGTGTAAGTGTGACCCTGTGTGAAAACAAAGTGATAGATGATAATATCTTCTAGCCCCTAAGTCTGGGACTCCACAGCATCTGCCTCCACGATGCCTCATCAGCCACTGCCACTGTGTGACTGCAGGAGAACCACCTGCTTTGCCCAGTCCTGGTCTTGGGGAAAAGCAATGACTCAGGAGGTAGCCAAACCAAGAAGGAGGTGACTGCTGATGCTCAAACAAAAACCCAGGAAAGGGACATACTAAACCGTTAACAATGGTTTTCTCCAGGTGAAGAGCACAATGGTAGACTTTTCTTTTGTCTGTTTATCTGAGTGTTGCAGTGTTACCGTAACACAAACATATTATTTAAGTATAAGGACCATGGGCTTCTCACCTACAATCAGGCCAGCAAATCCCACCCCTTTACCTAGGCAGGGATGATGCTGGCCCTTCCCCCAACCCAATCACGCCCTCAGGGTTTTCCCGTGTGATTATTTCACTCTATCCCCTTCATTTAAAAGTTGGAGTGTTGGGGAAGCTCAACATGTGACTTCTCTGGACCTACATTCACCTAGAGATAGTCTTGTGTCTCCCCCCTCTCCTCAGGGATGACAGGGGTCAAACAATATTAATGCTGATTGTAAAATATGGCATACAAGTCCCTGGGGTAGGGAAAACAAGATGGACTCCTGGGTGTTCTTGTGCTAAAGAAAATCCCATCAGGCCGACTTGAAAAACCAAGGTGACAATTTGTGTGATTCATTTTAGAGGACCTAGAAGCTTCAGAGCTTTTCAAGTAGCCAAGGATCTGCTAATAAATAGAGTAGCTTCTGAGAGGCGGAACAAGGACCATATTGAAGGTCTGTGAGGTTTCTGCAGCCTTAGGAGTGATCTCTTCAAATCAAAGTATATGAGGGACAAGAGTAGGTGGGGAGAGGTCAATGGGGGAAAAAGGAGACATATGTAAAACTTTCAACAATAAAGAATTTTAAAAACACACACACAATATAAATGTTAACAATAAAGGGACATCAGAGCTCGTCTAAGTCCAAGCCCAGAGAGGACATAAGAGTCACACAACATTACAGTGAATTGGGTGCCATGATGGGATTAGAACAAGGATCCATGTTTATCATCAATTTAATACTTTTGTTTCCAACACGAACTTATTTCATTACCAACAGTTCATAAAAAGCTAGATGTTGCCTCATTTTTCTGAAGGAAACAGTGGAGAGGGGAGGAGTAGCTATAAGACAGGAGAAAGAGATAGATGGTCTAAGGGAATATTTTGCCCCAGCACAGTGCAGTGGCTTGGGATCCAATAACACACTCTTAAGTACCCAATTCCAAATAAGCCAATCCGACCAAAAAGAAATAATGTTTTACCTGTGAAAGACCATCTTTGCACAGTGGACATTTCGCATTGTGGTCTAGGCATCTCTCAAGACATTTCAAACAAAATGTGTGTCCACACGGTGTTGTGACTGGCTCATAGAATAATCTGAAATTTAGGAATCAAAATGGAAGAAAACTGCAATAAGACCAAAAATAAAAGACAGGGATACTGAATGTAAGCTTTTATAGTATTATTTGGAAAATTCTGTATGTTGGGGTGAGGTGTATTGTTGTTTTTTTAATCCATGCTGTTTTTGAACTTCAAAAAGGCATTTGCTTTTTATTTCTGAGCTGAATTGTAAAATAATGCATTTACTAAAGTTTAGGACATAGTTAGATCATTTTGTAACATTAGTTCTAGCCAAACTCTTCTGGGGCATCCATATTTTTTTCAGTGTCCAGAGATAAATACCCAGAGTGTCTGCATAGATTCTATTCTAAAACAATTAGCCAACCTATTCATCTGAGTGTATGTAAACACACATACACAGATAAACACACATTCATACGTTTACCCATTTAAGTACTTTATATCACATTACAATGGAAAAATGACTCGGCTTCTTTGCTAATCTTGATTCTATTTTTCACCTAAGCAATGTCTATTCCCTAAAGAATCTTGAAATTGCACCTGTAACAAACAGATAACCGCCTTTTTATATGGATGAATCATTTTCCTATGGGTGGTAGAGTATTATTGTTAACTAGAGGCCTGAAGCACAAAATTCATGCAGTGGTGGGGGGAGGGTCCTCTCAGCCCAGCCTGTACCCTCTCCAATCTGGGACCCCTCGGGGAATGTCTGACTGCCCGTTGGGGATATCCGACTGCCCGTTTAGGAATCGGGCCTAAACTGGCAGTCGGACATCCCTCTCACAATCTAGCACCACTGGCTCCTAACTGCTCACCTGCCTGCTTGCCTGCCTGATTTCCCCTAACTGGCTCCCCTGCCAGCCTGATCACCCCTAACCGCCTCTGCCTGCCTACCCGATTGCCCCTAACTGCCTCCCTGCCAACCTGGTCACCCCCAACTGCCCCCTGCCAACCTGGTCACCCACAACTGCCCCCCCGCCAGCATGGTCTCCCCTTACTGCCCCCCCAGCCAGCCTGGTTGCCCCCAACTGCCCCCCTCTGCTGGCCTGGTTGTCCCCCCCCACCCCCCTGCTGGCCTGGTCGCCCCCAACTGTCCTGCTGCTGGCCTGGTTGCCCCCAACTGCCCCCCACTGCCGCCGGCCTGGTTGCCCCCAACTGCCCTCCCTCCATCGGCCTAG